TGATCTTTCGAATAATGCAGAGATACTTGCTAGGGTAATGAAACGTGGTGTTTGCAATAGGAATTACGGATATTTCTGACATCTAGCAGCTATATTACTGTAAGGTGTCCGAATAACGAAATTCCAAGAACGTTTCCAGCAATGAAAGTATGTTGAAGGTGACAGCCTCTAATAAGGACTTTGCTTTCGCAGATTCATTCTAGGAATTAGATTGTTACCCACCCCACTTAAATATTAAAAATAAATAGCACCAACCCCAATTAAATATTTAAAAATAGATAGCATTTACTGACTTTCATTCAGTATATCTTGATGGAATTCTATAGCCAAAATGTGCCATTGGTATAAATGCCAATACCATATTTACATGTATCATGCGACCTTTGACATTTTTTTGTGAAGAAAAGATGTTCATATATCTCGTATATAATGCGACCCCAGCTTCTGAGCAATACTAGTAGGCCTACCATAATCAAATATTGAATTACTGGGCATCATCTTGACATATTTTATAGCAAATAAATGGCCTTCATACTTTTTTATATAAAGCTAATCCAAAATGCCGAGAAAAACCACTAACCATAAAATATCTGATACGAAGATTTAGATACCGTATTTTTGTTTTCGTTCATGCCTGACTAAGCTAGCTCCTTTACCGTGGGCCTGCCGCCTACGTAGCCTAAGTTTTTTTTTCTCTTTTGTCGCTACATGAAGGGCAAAATGTAATTCACTATGTATGCCACTCAGAATCAACAAATACCTGATATACGTGAAGAATTTAATTTTTTTTTTCTATTTCAAATTTGCATTCATCTTCGTTTCGTAAGATTTTACAAAAATACTGTATACTGTTAGCACCTATTTTTTGCGTAAAGAATTGATAATAAAAACCTGCATTATACTCGCATTATACGGTACTTAGTTTGCTGCTCGTAACCGGTTCTAACATGTCCTTTCTGAGAGCCCTGATAAAACTTTAATGTAGAGAATGGCAATTTGACGTTGACAAGTCATTCTAAAGACACTAATGCCAGTTTCTGTCTAAATTACGGGAATTTAGGCTGCCAATTCTGAAAGTGAGACTACACAAGTGAGACTTATTTTTTGTGGTGGTGGTGGGGTAGCCATTTGGCACCGGTAGACTTGTTTGAGCAATTTTTCTTATCCTTTGGAAGCTGATAATCAGTGTGTCAATTTAACAAGCTATTTACACATATAAATGTATCTTATTAACTCGTGATAAAGTTAACGACTAGGGCAAGTGTTTTTTTACCTGTTACGGCTTGGGAAGATAAGGTTGTTAAAGAAACTGACTTTTACTCACGCACTACCGCACGCACAAGCACCTACATACATAAACCCATACGCTAATCTATATATATCCACGTATACTTATATGCAATAGTCATTTATACATTATATATTCAAGCATTCACATATACTGTCACATATACTGACACATGTATATATATATATATATATATATATATATATATACATATATATATGTATGTATGTATGTATGTATGTATTTTTATGACATGTCCCTTCAAGACATAGACGATCATGCCTATGTACAAATATCTTTATGAACTTTAAACTCGAATGACTTTGTTGGGAATTATAATATTGTGTTTTTCCGTTAACCTCTCTACCGTATCGAATTCAGAGTTTTCCTTCTGTTATACTGGCTGCCAAACAAGGCTTCTCTGCTGTATAACCCATAGCTGGATAGGAGAGGAAGAGATTTATCTTTATATGTATGTGTGTGTGTGTGTGTGTGTGTGTGTGTGTGTGTGTGTGGACACTGAGGTCAACATCAAGCGACTACAGTGTATTTCATGCCTGATCGCAATCATCAGGCCAAGTGTGTTCTATTTTTGTTGGAGTGTTTATGTATTAGTCACTAGTGTAGTGTGGATAGTAGGGCCTATTGTATTATCCTGGCGGGTATTGGGTGGATATAATTGTGGATTCTGATGCGGTTATTTGTAGTTATTTTATAGTGTTGTTTTTTTTAACTTTTTACTCATTATTTATTATTGATTATTTAATTATTTATTGTCGATTATTATTATTGTATTTATGCATTTAAAATTTAGTTTCTTAATTTCTTTAGTGTTTACTTTTTTTATTCATTTATATTTTTTGTTTATTTATTTACACAAAAAATCTAAATAAATAAATAAATTTGTAATTCCTTTTTTGGTCGGGCCGAGAAATGTTCATCAGCACTTCGTAGACAAATCCGTGAACAGATGTTAGGCATCAATAGATTTAGGCATATTTAAACAGTTGAAGAAGTGTCAGTGTACTGCCAAGTCGCCTTGGTTGGCAACTAGTCTATGAGAATGTTTGGCTACCGTCATGCTATCTTGCCCAAGAAACATCACTACTGCTACGTTTATATATATATATATATATATATATATATATATATATATATATATCGTATAATTCTGCGTATAAGGTGACCTTTGAATAAGGCAAGGTGAAAACATATAGCAAATTTTCATTTTATCCTATACCTGTAGTATAAGATGACTGCATATTGATTATAAAGATGATGTTATTGGAAATATTGTTACTTACTGTATCCATAGAAATTCAAAATAAACAAAATAAATAAATCGATTACATATAATGTTTTTCCTACACATGTCTCCTAAAAGGGAAACCATTGTTTTGTTTATGTTTCAATCACGTGATCTCTTGTAAATACTGATTCTTCTTCTTTCTCTTCTTTTCCTATGTCTAAACAGTTACCCACAGCCTGGTGTACTAATGGCCATTTACTTATACTTAATCGAGAATCACAAAATACTGCTAATAACTACGATAATATAAGATAATAGTACATTCTACTTTCAACATGTTTTTATTCAGTCTCTTCCTAAGATCTGTCTAAGTCAGTTCAAATTTCTTATTAACTCCTACCCATATCAATCACGGAACCACCAGCAAAACAAAGAAGTTATGAAGCGAGGTTTAAAGGTTTAGGTATAAAAAATAATAAAAATACACACACACACACACACACACACACACACACACACACACACACACACACACCACAGCACACCTCGCCTACTTTCCAATATTCTTTGCTCAAGTCACTACACTCACCAGTTCTACTAAACTCACCATTTGTGTCTACCTACCCTGATGGCGACTTAAGAAAAGTGGAAAGCTTGGACCATATTTCTTCCGAAATGAACTTTGAACAACAACTGACGGAATTTCTTTTTTATATGTTAAAAATTATTCGTAATTTGAAAAAGTAGATCAATAAAATTAATTGACACAAAATGTCTGTTGTCTTTAATAACATTTGCCATAAAGAAGATTTGCTGCCTAAATACACACACATACAATCTCTCTCTCTCTCTCTCTCTCTCTATATATATATATATATATATATATATATATATATATATATATATATATATATCAGGGAGGACGATCCGCTTAGGTGAAACCTTGGTAGGTTTGTCTGGCTCTCTAGGTTTAACTAGGTCTGCTCTACTTACTGTATTGAGCTCTTTATTTAGTTATTTTTCCTACTCGTATCAGACTTGCAGGCTGGATGATTATTTTCGTCTAACGTACATGTTCTTGGTTCTTTCTTTTTTTTTATACCTTTTTCCCTTTTGGTATTGGCTTGTTTATTTGCAAATCAAGACACCAAAGGTTTTCCGGACGAGTATAGTTTCTTAATAAGATTACTACTACTACTACTACTACTACTACTACTAATAATAATAATATATATATATGTGTGTGTGTGTGTGAATAGATAGACAGAGAGAAAGAGAGGGAAAATAATAAGATTTGAAAATACTCTTAATGTTTTTTTTTTATATCTATATGTAATATTTATAATACATGTATGTTTACTGAGAATTATTAAAATTCAAATTGTTTTACTTTTTTCCTGGTCTTATTATTTTCTCTACTCAGTAACTTTTTGTAGAGATTTTTTTAAACAATTTCACTTTTTACACACAAACACACACACACACACACATATAGTATATTGGCCAGCAGATCAATATTTAAGCATATATTGTTAAACAAAACAGACAATGAATGTCTATTTTGTTTGATCAAGAGCCGTTCTAAATTCCTTATATTTGCTTTAATTTCGAATGGAAATAAAGACAAAAATTGTACAACATTTGGATATTTTTTTAAGCTGTTCCTTCATCTAAGCTTTCGACCTCACATGAGCCATCTTCAGTGTGCTTATGGGGGCATTTAAACAAAGATATTCACCATCGAAGTTGGTATTCAGTTATGTTGACACAGAAGATTGCTATGCGACGATAACGGTCGCCGAATAGCGGACACAGTTCGTAAATTCATGATGCGGTTCTATGACGTCGTACCACGTTAGATAATGAAATATTAACAACAGAACCATATGTCTAGATGCAGTGTAATGTGTTGTGACTAGTTTGAAATATAATTTTGTTGAGTGTGGGTTGATTTGTTTTACTGTAGGTGGCTTCCAATATCGAAACCTTAGATTTATCTTTCCCTGATCAAATTTAATTGTTTTAAGCTAAGCTAAAGAACATTTTTAGTTAGTCCAAAATGATTTCAGATGACTATTACTACATTCAAAAGACAATGGTTAAAAGACTTAACATAGGAATAAGAAAAAAAATTCCTTTAAATAACACGTGCAAATAAACATTCTTCGCCTGATGAAGGTCACAAGACCTGAAACAAAAATGTGTCTATCCAAGTCGTGGCATGTCAGTAACAAGACATTTGTTATGACAAATGACAGAAAGGCAGATTTAATTAAGAGATCGATTCATCACTTTCCTAAGGACATTAAATGAGTCATATCATGTTTTATTAAGTATGGTAGCTTATACATGGGTTGCAAATTTGTAATCGGCAAATTCTTACAAATTTTCTCCTTCAATAATCGTGGCAATCCAGTGACGAGAAATTCTCGGCAAAATATCAGGTGATGAGAAATGATGCACCTTTGGGAAAGGAGATTGTGTTTGTGTGTGTTCGTGAGAGAGAGAGAGAGAGAGAGAGAGAGAGAGAGAGAGAGAGAGAGAGAGAGAGAGGCAGATAGCTAGAGTAATGGGCTATTGATTTCCCCAATGGTATAGGTGTGAAAGGAATACACACAGGCATGGGCGGAAATCGAATTCGGTTCGTCGATGTCAATTTTCCGCGCCAATAATCATGCACTTCCGAAGGATGGAAGAAAAAAGAAAGATTATTAAAGCAGACATTAAATATACTGAATGAAGAACGAAAAAAGAAAAGAAAAGTAAAACATTCAAACGAAATATAAAAAAATGAAAAAAGGGTTTAAAATCGATAATAAACTAAGAAAACGTTTCTAAAACTGTCAAAAAGACAAGAAAAAGGAAAAAGATAAGAAAAAGGAAAAAAAATGCAAAAGAAAGAAAGAAAGAAAGAAAGAAATGAGTGATGAATGGCAAACGCCAAAAATAACATCATTTTGTTCGATAACCTTTTTTTATAATCTCATTAAAACTCAAGTGTTCTATTGTGATTGTGGCAATTTGGTTTCAGAAAAAAGAATAAAAAAGAAATACAAAACTTTTATTCATATTTGCACCTATGTACCTTAATTAGCAGTTGTTCAATGTACCTATAAACATGTGGTGCTTGCGCACTGACAGATTTTATTATGTAAATTGATTTTTTCACAATAACAAGGAGTATTAATCAACAAGCGTTAACAATACATTTAAGACAAACTCATATTTATATATGTATACCATGTACATTTCAACTTTATAATATCTATTTCTCATCATATCATTAACACACACACACACACACACACACACACTTTCCTATTGCTCAAAATAGAGTCCACTAGTGTTATAAAAACCTGGAAGAATTCCAGTAAGATATCTTTAATCATTTCTAAGATACAACAGTTCAGAGATTAATCTAACAATTGGACCATTTTGCTGTTACACATTTTGAACAATTTTGCTGTTACACACGGTATATATATATATATATATATATATATACATTAAGAATTGGACAAAGTCCGACAATTTATTAAAGACATTTTTATGTTTAACATTCTTTTTATAGATACAAGTATTTAAGTAAATGCTCTGTTTATAATAAACAGTATTAAATAACATTTACCGGCCTGAATGTCCGAGAAATTTTCATAGAAAATATTCGTCCTTTGACAGGATTCGAACCTGCATCCTATACGGAACCGTCATTTGTGGCCGAGTCGGTTAAGGCACGTCAGCGTAAATGATGGTTCCGTATAGGATGACGTAATTCATTCAGCCAGAAATGTGTAAACAGCGTTCTATACTACTTGGTATATGCCCCAGAAGCACTATTACGAACATTTCAGAGTATTTGCGCGTCAATCTAAGGACAGTGCGGAAGATTCGGAAAGAGTTGGATGCGTCTAATGGTAATTACGAAGCAGTTTAGAGAGATCCCTAGTGAAGGCTTCTCATAGGGCCTCAGACTCAACATGGAGGCCTACGTCAAGAGCCTTGAAGAAGTAGTTCTGTCCTAGGTCAAGAGGGTGGCTGCTGGAACTCTCTCTGGCAACAGGACTCTGCACCATGCCACAAAAGCTGAAGAACCCAATCATGGCTGCCAGACAATTTCTCCGACCACATCACACCTTATATCTGACCATTTAGAGATTTTCTAAGCGTAGCTTAGATGTGGCACAAGGCCGAACGTATGGGGCATCCAGTGAGGATCGAACTTACTTTTCAGTAGTAACTGATCTAGCAAGACAAGATTGCTAACCATTACACCATGCCGAGGTGCCCTTATATCTGACCATTTAACTCCACGGACTGTACCCACTTAATTTTTATGTGTGTGTTGGGGGTGGGGGCAGTTTAGCGAGTGACCAACAACACTCCTTGTAATACCAATGACGAACTGAAGGCAAGGATTATGGCATCATTCACCAACTTAAATAAGGAGACAGTTCAATTGATTTGTAGAAGATTCCGAAGTTGTCTGGAGGCTGTGGTTGAAGTCAATGGCGATTTTATTGCATAAATTTACTCTTTAGTATTTCAAGATATTATTTGTGTAATTTTGGTAAATATATCTGTTAAAATGAGATATCAATATTATTGATGTTATCAATGTTATTTTTTTTTATTTTATTATTATTATTATTATTATTTTTTTATTTTATTTTATTTTTTTTTTTTTTCGTAATCTAGACGACAATTTATCCATCGCACCCTGCATGTAAAGATTGCTACGGATCACGATCACAAGATCCGTAATTTACGAGGACCGTAGGGGCACCACATGCAATGCAAGTGCAGTAGCAGTGGTGTTTCTTGAGCAAGATATCCTGACGGAGCTCAACTCTCTCCAGGTTGGTTTGAATTCAGAGTTTCACACATAGACAGGCGGCTTTCCGATTCTTCAATCCATTATTCCATAATGCCTTCAATTTGATCCCAAGAAAGAAAAAAAAAAATCAAAAGAGAAACAAGAAGTGGCAAGTTTATTGATTATTGGTAGCAGAAGATTTGGTAATTTTAGAAAGAGTTGAATAGGGATCAAGGAACACTCAGAAAAATCAAACATTGGCAAGAAGATATCTGGAAAATGAAGATGGCTTTAAGAATCTCAGTGAGAGAGTTGTGAGAAAAATTATAAGGTTAACCCTTTGAGCCCTGACCACCGCTTTATTGGTAGTAGAGAAAACGGTCTTATTGCCCAGCCACTGGTTGAACGGTGGTAGAGAAAAATGACTTAATGCCCAGCCACCGGTTGAACGGTGGTAGAGAAAAATGACTTAATGCCCAGCCACCGGGTGAACGGTGGTATAGAAAAATGATTTAATGCCTAGCCACCGGTTGAATGGTGGTAGAGAAAAATGACTTCATGCTCAGCCACCGGTTGAACGGTGGTAGAGAAACATGGTTTAATGCTCAGCCACCGGCTGATTGGTGGTAGAGAAAATGACTTAATGCACAGCCACCGATTGAACGGTGGTAGAGAAAAATGACTTAATGCCTATCCACCAATTAAACGGTGGTAGAAAAAAATGACTTAATGCTCAGCCACCGGTTGAACGGTGGTAGAGAAAATGACTTAATGCTCAGCCACTAGTTGAACAATGGTAGAGAAAAATGACTTATCGCCCAGCCACCGGTTGAACGGTGGTAGAGAAAAAATGACTTAATGCACAGCCACCAATTGAACGGTGGTAGAGAAAATGACTTAATGCCCAGCCACCGATTAAAACGGTGGTAGAAAAAATGACTTCATGCTCAGCCACCGGTTGAACGGTGGTAGAGAAACATGATTTAATGCTCAGCCACCGGCTGATTGGTGGCAGAGAAAAATGACTTAATGCACAGCCACCGATTGAACGGTGGTAGAGAAAAATGACTTAATGCCTATCCACCAATTAAACGGTGGTAGAAAAAATGACTTAATGCTCAGCCACCGGTTGAACGGTGGTAGAGAAAAATGACTTAATGCTCAGCCACTAGTTGAACAATGGTAGAGAAAAATGACTTAATGCCCAGCCACCGGTTGAACGGTGGTAGAGAAAAATGACTTAATGCCTAGCCACCGATTAAACGGTGGTAGAAAAAATGACTTCATGCTCAGCCACCGGTTGAACGGTGGTAGAGAAACATGATTTAATGCTCAGCCACCGGCTGATTGGTGGCAGAGAAAAAATAACACACAGCCACCGATTGAACGGTGGTAGAGAAAATGACTTAATGCCTATCCACCAATTAAACGGTGGTAGAAAAAAATGACGAATGCTCAGCCACCGGTTGAACGGTGGTAGAGAAAAAATGACTAATGCTCAGCCACTAGTTGAACAATGGTAGAGAAAATGACTTTGCCCAGCCACGGTTGAACGGTGGTAGAGAAAATGACTTATCCTAGCCACCGATTAAACGGTGGTAGAAAAAATGACTTATGCTCAGCCACCGGTTGAACGGTGGTAGAGAAACATGGTTTAATGCTCAGCCACCGGCTGATTGGTGGCAGAGAAAATGACAATGCACAGCCACCGATTGAACGGTGGTAGAGAAAATGACTTAATGCCTATCCACCAATTAAACGGTGGTAGAAAAATGACTTATGCTCAGCCACCGTTGAACGGTGGTAGAGAAAATGACTTAATGCTCAGCCACTTTGAACAATGGTAGAGAAAAATGACTTAATTTTGAACGGTGGTAGAGAAAATGACTTAGCACAGCCACCGATTGAACGGTGGTAGAGAAAAATGACTTAATGCCTAGCCACCGATGAAACGGTGGTAGAAAAATGACTTATGCTCAGCCACCGGTTGAACGGTGGTAGAGAAACATGATTTAATGCTCAGCCACCGGCTGATTGGTGGCAGAGAAAAATGACTTATAATTTACCGATTGAACGGTGGTAGAGAAAAATGACTTAATGCCTATCCACCAATTAAACGGTGGTAGAAAAAATGACATGCTCAGCCACCGGTTGAACGGTTTGACTTAATGCTCAGCCACTAGTTGAACAATGGTAGAGAAAATGACTTATGCCCAGCCACCGTTGAACGGTGGTAGAGAAAAATGACTTATCGCACAGCCACCGATTGAACGGTGGTAGAGAAAAATGACTTAATCGCCCAGCCACCGATTAAACGGTGGTAGAAAAATGACTTCATGCTCAGCCACCGGTTGAACGGTGGTAGAGAAACATGATTTAATGCTCAGCCACCGGCTGATTGGTGGCAGAGAAAATGACTTACGCACAGCCACCGATTGAACGGTGGTAGAGAAAAATGACTTAATGCCTATCCACCAATTAAACGGTGGTAGAAAAATGACTTAATGTCAGCCACCGGTTGAACGGTGGTAGAGAAAATGACTTAATGCTCAGCCACTAGTTGAACAATGGTAGAGAAAATGACTTATGCCCAGCCACCGGTTGAAAGAGAAAAATGACTTACGCACAGCCACCGATTGAACGGTGGTAGAGAAAATGACTTAATGCCTATCCACCAATTAAACGGTGGTAGAAAAAAATGACTTCATGCTCAGCCACCGGTTGAACGGTGGTAGAGAAAAATGACTTAATGCTCAGCCACCGGTTGAACGGTGGTAGAGAAAAATGACTTAATGCTCCAGCCACTAGTTGAACAATGGTAGAGAAAATGACTTATCGCCCAGCCACCGATTAAACGGTGGAGAAAAATGACTTAATGCTCAGCCACTAGTTGAACAATGGTAGAGAAAATGACTTAATGCCCAGCCACCGGTTGAACGGTGGTAGAGAAAAAATGATTTAATGCCTATCCACCAATTAAACGGTGGTAGAAAAATGACTTATTGCTCAGCCACCGTTGAACGGTGGTAGAGAAAATGACTTATCGCTCAGCCACCGGTTGAATTGGTAGAGAAAAATGACTTAATGCCTAGCCACCGATTAAACGGTGGTAGAAAAATGACTTCATGCTCAGCCACCGG